ATTTTTTTCACCCATCTGATTGGCAAAAATTCTAAAGAGTGGTTATATCCAATGCTGACAAGATAAAAAATGATCTCATGCACTGTTAGTGGGGATATAATCTTTTAGAGGACCATGTGGCAGTATCTATTTAAATTAAAAATGACAAACCCTTTGACCCAGCAATTACACTCTTGGGTTTCTATCCTAGGTTTAATAATTACACATGTATACAGAGAGATTTATACAAGGTGTTTAACATTATTATTATTAATCGGCCCAAATCTAAAGAAATCCAAATCCCTGTTAGTGAGGCTAGGACTGTACAAACAATAGTCTAATCACACAATCAAATACTATTATAAAAACAGTGAGGCAGATCTTTATGTACTGGTAAAAAAGAAATCCAGCATAGTTTGAAATGGAAAAAAAGAAAAGGCATAGAATCCACAAGTACAGTATGATAGTGTGTGTGTATGTAAGACCAACATAAAACTACATAAAAATATTGTTTAATGTAATATATAAAAATATTCCTGGGTGGTGCAAACGGTTAAGAGCTCAACTACTAACAGAAAGGTTGATGGCTGGAACCCTCCCAGAAGTACTTCAGAAGAAAAGCCTGGCTATTTACTTTCGAAAGATCACAGCCTTGAAAACCCTAAGGAGCACACGCATACGGTTTGGCAAGCTTTTGTTGTATTTTTCGGTATGTTCCTAAATGGACACGTATTTGCAAATGCATATACTAAGCTGGGAACAGTGGCTATTGCCTCAGACTGAGGGAGATGGGTGCTGGTGGTGGAAGGGCTTAGATGGGACCCACCATCACTCACATGCTCTTTGTAGTAGAGTCCATTGGAAAACATGGGGTCTTAAGTCTATGGACCTCAGTTCATAAAGGGGGTTTTTAAATAGTTGTTATAATTTCCATCATTATTAGTATAATAGTCTTATTTAATTCAATTAGAACTCTTCATGAGCCACCAAACATTTGCAAGGAGTTGTTTCATGAAATCAATAATAAAGTCAGTTATCACGTGGTAATTTCAATTAGAACAGACTCTTGTGGGAGGAAAGGATATTAAAGGGCAATCATGTAGAACAAATAATGTTTGCTCACAGATGAGCTTTCCCATTGATTCTGTATTCAATATAGATTTAATTATATTTATTTAAGACCTTTAATTGTTACTTACCTTACATGTCTTGATTTCATGTTTGCTTGTTCAGTTTTAGTAATGGCAATGTAATCTACTATTAGTTCATTCGTAGGAAATACCTTCCTTGTTCTGCCCATTCTGTTGTCATTTCAATACAACTACATTATATATGGGTAAACCATGAAATAAGACAGGATCGCTTCTGCTACTCAGAATAAACTATCTTTAGCCAAAGAATCCGTGTGCCCTTATATTAACTAACCCCCATCTCTCCGTCAAAATCAGGAATCAAACAAAAAGTTCCTTCAGTACTTCTTTCGTTTTCCCTTAGTTGTCTTCTCTCTCCCTCCCCCTACTCCTTCTCCCTTCAAACTTCTTCAAGTAAAAAAATGCTAATTTTAGTTATTTCCTCTTGGCTGCCTCAGATCACTTTTAGAAGAAAGTGGAGAGTAGAAACTGGAGTGTGGGTATACAGGAGGTTCCAGTACATTCTACCTTCAGTAGGGTGCTACTAACATGGAGGGCAGCACCTCAACTATACAGCATATTCTGGTGACGTTAAGGAACCCATACTGGTATTGGTTAATATCTGTTCTTTCTTCTAATAAGTTCAGCTTCATTCCTTTCTTCTCTCTTGCCTTTCTTCTTCCTCCTTCCCTCCTTCCTTCCTTCTTCCTCCTTCCCTCCTTCCTTCCTTCTTTTCCTCTTTCCTTCCCTCCTTCCCCCCTCCATCCCTCTTTTCCTCCTTACTTCTTCCTTCCTTCTCTCTTTCTCCCTTCCTTCCCTTTTTCCTACCTCCTTCATTACTTCGTTCCTTTCTTTCTTCCTCCTCCCTTTCTTATTTCCTTTCTTTTTTTCTCCTTCCTTCCTTCACCTTTCCTTCCTCCCTCCCTCCCTCCTTCCTTCCTTTTTTTCCTTTCTTCTTCTTTCCTTTCTCCCTAACCTTTAACCTTGATGTTGAACTCAGTGTTATGTCATGAAAAGAAGGCACAAGGCCTTAGGTCTGATCTTGGCTCTGCTACTTAGCGGCTGTGGAATACAGAGCAAATTGCTCCACCTTTCTGGACCTTGAGATCCTTGTCTGTAAAATCTAAATTCCACCACAAGATGCCCTCTTCACAGGTTGTTGTAAGGACCGAATGGGATTACGTATTTTAAACTCCCAAACTGGTGTTCAGTAGGAGTTTAGTAAAGGTTAAGTCCATATCCTTCTTCTTAGAGATACTTGCTTTTAAACTTTATTTCCAAATGGGAAACAGGAATTCAGGCCAGTAAATAAATTTCAAACATCACCACGCATATACAGGCAGCCCCCAAATTAAGATACAGATGTGTGCAAGCATAAATTAAATTTACTTAATAAAACTATCCAGATAGAAACAAGATGAATGTGTACACTATAATATAATGAACGAGTGTTGGTAATTATACAACTATGTAATTACCTTTATGCACCTGACCCAAACCATGGTCTTTTCAATAGCCTCATATGCATGCAAAAGCTGGACGATGAAAAAGGAAGACGGAAGAAGAATTGGCACATTCTAATTATGGTGTTGGCAAAGAGTATTGAATATACCATGGACTGCCAGAAGAATGAACAAATCAGTCTTAGACGAAGTACAGCCAGAATGCTCTTTAGAAGTGAAGACAGTAAGACTTCTTCTCACTTACTTTGGACACATCATCAGGAAAGATCAATCGCTAGAAAAGGACATCATGTTTGGTAAAGTAGAGTGCAGTGAAAAACAGGGAAACCCTCCATGAGATGGATTAACACAGTGGCTGCAACAATGGGCTCAAACATAGCAATGATCATAAAGATGGTGCAGGACTGGGCAATGTTTCATTCTGTTATATATAAAGTTGCTATGAGTCAGAGCCAACTCAATGGCAGCCAACAACGAGATCTGAGCATCAAGAAAGACAAATTAGGATGTCTGTTATCAAGCAACATGGAGTCCACACACCATAGCCTATCTCTCCTACTGTTTACGACTGAAACTCAGAATATAACTAATGATAACAGGGGGTTTGGGAAGGAAAGTCAAAAACTGAAAAACTGTAACAGCAGTGAGTTCTGTGGTGGATTCTCCTTCCTCTTTTATTCCAGTGTGACACTACGTAGTGGGGACAGGCAGCAAAAACTCAGAGAGAAATTTTATCTTTCTAGCCAGAAAATTCAGGAAAACTGGTCCCCTCAAGCAGTATAGCACGGGGAAAATCGCTGGGTTTTTTTTGTTTTTGTATGTTTTTGCTTTTTTTTTAATAAGATTTTTACTCTGGAATACTTTTAGATTTACAGGAAAGTTGTAAAGATAGTACATAGAGCTCCATGTACCCCACACTCAGTTTCCCCTAACATCTTACATTCCCATGGATCATTTATGAAAACTAAGAAACCAACATTGGGTACACCATTGTTAACTAAACTTCAGACCTGACTAGGATTCACTAGTTTTTCCACTAATGTCCTTTTCCAGTCCCATCCAGGATACCACATTGCATTTCATCTTCATCTGTGAGATGGATTGGCACAGTAGTTGCAAGGATGGGCATGCTGGCAATTGTGAGGATGACAAAGAGCCAAGCAATGTTTAGTTCTGTTGTACATGGGGTCGTCATGAGTCAGAGCCTACTCCACCACAGCTAACAACACGCTGAGCTCAGCTGTGGCTTTTGACACTTTCATTGAGAGGTGAGAAGGAGACTTCATTAAAGTTCCAAATTAGTAACCTAAACTCAGAGAGGGTAGTAGAACAACCTTTAATTTGGGGATCATTTTAAAAAAGAAAATTAAAAAAAGCTACATAAGGGAAGATTTAAAATCTCAATATGAGACTAATCGACCTTTGATAACAGCTCACAAACTTGGAATTTTGATAAGTAATAAACTTAAAGGAGTTAGGAAATGACCAGAAATTTATAGCTATGCTGTAGGTATGGGGAGCACGCCATCAAAGCAACTGGAAATTTTTATGGACTATGACACTGAGGTGGGGAGATCCTTTCGGGTGGGGCAGGAACTTAGATGACAGATGTTGTTTTGATACAACCTGACTCATAACATTATTTAGAGCAGGAAGAAGAATTAGAATTCTAGCCATTCCCAGCTCAAAGAGGCTATGTATGATGAGCCCGTGTGCAGAACTCCTTAGGGGTAGGACCAGGTCTAGAACCAGTCTTCATTCTTCTGTTTGCTGCTCTTAAACCCTGGTTGAAAATTCTACATCCTGGCCACGGCCCACCTGGGGGAGGCGGGACTCAGGAGCCTGGAGGTTTAGCAGATTCCAGGGTGTTCACTAAAGCTCCGATGCCGCCGACCCCTAAATCTCACAGTGAGTTCCATTTTCCAGGGCACCTATTCCCTCTAGAGCATTGCAACTCTAATCATAAAATCAGGCCAGTTCCACCCACAACTTTACGATCCAGTGCGAGCCCAAAGACTCTAGCAAACAGTCTTCATGCGGCTGGAAGCCCCGCCCCCATGCGTAGCCATAGAAACGACTGACAAGCCTTGAGCCAGGGATAACCTGCTCTGCCCCCTCCCTGACAGATATTGTTTCCCACTGTCTGTCCACATGTGCGCACCGCCTCACTATTCGTCCGTGCCCCAGGACTGGGCCTTGCCCTGGCCAATAAGCGGCCTGTACACGTGCACGCCTGCGTCTTCCCATTGGCCAGTGCCAACAGATCACGCATTGCCTTCCTGCGCCAGCCGGCGTGTGGGGGCGCCAATGAAATGACTCAGTAGCCATTTACAACCAATCAGCAAGGCGCAGGGCTCACAGCTGACCTATGGGCGCGCTCCGGGGGTGGGCTGTCCCGGCCCCTTTCTCATCCCGGCTAGGTTTGTTAAAGCAACAGGGCCCACGGCGCGCAGGGGCTCCAGGTGGACAGCACAGCGGCGGTAGCGGCCCTCTGCGTGCGGCGGGCGCCGGTGACAGCGGCGCCGCTTTGCCCACGATCCCCGCTCCGGGCCGCTGCCGACCTCAGTGGGACGGGGCCGCGTCGCCCGGCGACATGGGCGGCGAAGTGGGATCCGCGGCGGTCGTGGGCTCCGAGGGCCGCGTGAAGAGCCTGGGTCTGGTATTCGAGGATGAGCGCAAGGGCTGCTACTCGAGCGGCGAGACGGTGGCTGGGCACGTGCTGCTGGAGGCGGCCGAGCCGGTGACCCTGCGCGCGCTGCGCCTGGAGGCCCAGGGTCGCGCCACCGCCGCCTGGGGCCCCAGCGCCGGCGCGCGCACCTCGGCCAGCGTCGCTGTCCCGGCCGTCTCCTCGGAGGTGGAGTACTTGAACGTGCGCCTGAGCCTGCGCGAGCCCCGAGCCGGTGAGCGCGGCGTCGTCCTCGGGCTCCCCGCCGGGACGCGGGGATGCCGCGGGGAAGGGCTGCGGGAGCCCTGGGCGCTGGGAGGGGGCGCACCGGCGGAGTGCCCACCTGGGAGGTGGGCCGGGCGGGGTTCTGAGGTGGGGTCCGCCCATGGGGTAGCCGGCGCCGCAGCTTGATGGCTGGTTGGAGGGGGTGGGGTAGGTAACAATGCCTATGCCGCCCACCTCACAGCCACCCCGAGGCCGCGCGCTGTGGGTGCGACGACCTACCTGACGTCCCACCCCTGGTGCACCGAGGCCTGACAAGCACCTGGCATCCTCCACCTCCTAGGACCGCGAAGGGAGTGGGCCGTTGCCATGGGAATCTGTGATGGACAGTCTGGGATCTTGGGATCTAGGTTCTGGCACCAAGGATGGAGAGCGGAAGCAGAGCCTGTGAGGTTCGGTTTAGCGGTGCCCAGTGTTTTGTGGGCCTGGAGTTTTCATCCTGGTCTTCAACACTCCTCTCGGTTTCATGATGAATGAGCAAAAACGCAACTGTTGGGAAGAGGGAAGTAGTCACGAGTGTTACGAATTCAAAGGAAGTGTTTCTTCACTAGGCTATCATACTTGGTGCACCTCTTCTGGGGGCAACTTACTAAAAGTTTTGCTTCTCTTTTACTTTCCGTGTCTTTATTTTTTGCTTGGCTTCTTTTTGTTTCCTTTGCATCCTTTTGTCTTTTCTGTTTTGTTTGTTGTTTGTTTCTTTTTTTCTTCCCTCAGGAGCCCTGGTGGCATAATGGTCAAGAGCTCAGCTGCTAACCAAAAGGTCGGCAGTTCGAATCCAGCAGCTACTCCTTGGAAACCCTATGGAGCAGTTCTACTTTGTCCTGTAGGGTCACTATGAGTCAGAATCCACTGGGTGGCTACGGGTTTGGTTAACCCTTTAGAGACAGTGAAATGTGGGCATGGTTATAGTTCTTGGGGGAAGGATCACCCTTCCTGTCAACTCTTGTGAAGTCCAGTGTAGGCACTTCTGGAAAAGCCTATGTGAGAACCCACTACATGGGTGTTCAGTTAATACTAGGTGCAAAAATTGATTCCATTAAACAAGAAAATACTGGAATGATTACTAGAAACTGGGAGTCAGTCTGCTTTTAGTCAGTAGACACTCTTTTAAACTTTTATTTTCTGCCTCATCAGCCTTCGTCTATAAAATAAAGATAATGGCACACACCCTCCTCCCTTGAAGAGTAAAGGGTATTGTATCTGTATGCTTATTTGCTGTGATATATACAAAATCAATGGTATGTATAGTTTTGCCTCATCCTACTGCGGAGAAGGAGACTGTTCACACTTAACGTCCTCAAGGTATGTGAGAATCTGAGTGATCTCAGAATTATAGAGAGGAAAAAAGTACTTGGAAACGAAGCGTTTGGATTAACGCAGCAGTGTGTTAGGTGACAGTTCTTACCTGCTTTTCATCGATATGGTTTCCAGGATCAGCCCACACGTGCCTCCCCAGTGGTGACAGAAAAAACAAAAAGACCCACTGCCGTCGAGTCGATTCCAACTCATAGTGACCCTATAGAACAGGGTGGAACTGCCCCATACAGTTTCCAAGGCTATAAATCTTTATGAAAGCAAACTGCCACATCTTTCTCCGATGAAGTAACTGGTGGGTTCATTTGAACCACCGACCTTTCAGGTAGCAGCCAAGCGTTTTAACCGCTCTACCACCAAGGCTGCTTTTAATGGTGACAAATTTTCAAGATGGCCGACTGGAGTAAAGGGCCATGGAACAGAGAAGTAAATTGTTTTTTGCCCAGGACTTTGGACTTGCTTTATCTTTGGACCCATGATACTGAGTAAATAGACTTAAGATTAACCCAGCTGGTGAACCTGAGATTTGCAATGAAAATTGCTTTGACAAAATCTGCAGTAATAGATTGTTTTAGATATACAGGCAGGTCTCATTTTTCTAATCTGATGGAATAGAATGTTTAAGCCTAGACAATTTGAAAATCTTTAACTGACTTTAGAATGTATCATTAAAAAAAAAAAAGAAAAAGCATAATTTTACTTAAAAATAATAGTCTGTTTCAGTTTATTTCATTGAGAAAAAAAAATACCCCTAATATCTATAAGGAGCCCTGGTGGTCCAGTGGTTAAGCATTTGGCTGCTAAAAAAAGGTCTGCTAATCAAAAGGTTGGTGATTTGAACCCACCCAGCACCTCTGTGGGAGAAAGACCTGGTGATCTGCTCCTGTAAAGATTAGTCGTTGGTGTCGAGTCAATTTTGACTAATGGCGACCCTATAGGACAGAGTAAAACTACCCCATAGGGTTTCCAAGGCTGTAATCTTTATGGAAGCAGACTGCCACATCTTTCTCTTGCGGAGTGGCTGGTAAGTTCGAATGGCTGACCCTTCGATTAGCAGCTGAATACTTAAGCATTGTGCCATCCAGGCCCAGAAAACCCTATGGGGCCGTTCTACTCTGTCAGAGTCAACTCGACAGCACCCAACAATAACAATACCTATAGCCTGGAAGAAGTTAGCAACTTCCCATAGTCATAGAGTCACAGGACCATTTAAGTCCAAAACCTGGCTGAGTTTCAATCACCTGAAAAGATTTTTGGGAATGTAGATTTCTGGGAAGTGTTAACCTGGGATTTATTCTCAGATCTCCCCCAAATAATTGTTTGGTATCACTAATCTAATCCAACTATTTTCTATCACTATGATTGATTCTCTTCATATTTTTATGGAGGAAATTGTAGTGGAAAAGCAAAAGAGGATCTGAGAGCTGACTTTGCTTCCTGCTCACCCACCAGCAGCATGATTGTGGCGCTCACCCATCCGGAGGCCCAGTCTCAATGCAGTGGTCATGTGGCTCCACAGCTCACAAAGACCATTGGCTCTAAGACCAGTTAGTGAAGGAAACACCCCCTGTAACATTGTAGGCCTCGGTGCTCAAGGCTCTGAGAAGAGAAGCAGAAATGGGCATGTATTTCAGCTTTTGCACCTTTCAAGTAGGAAGGAGGGGCCCTGGTGGTGCAGTGGTTAAGAGCTTGGCTGATAACTAAAAGGTCAGCAGTTCCAATCCACTTGCCGCTCCCTGGAAACCATATGGGGCAGTTCTGCTCTGTCCTATAGGGTTCCTATGAGTCATAATCCACTCGAAGGCAATGAGTTTCGTTTGTTTTTTTTAATAGGAAGGAAAGACAGGAAAGATTTGATTCCAAAGTACCATAATAACCAGTTGCCATCAAGTAGACTCTGACTGATAGTAACTCGTGTGTGTCGAAATCGAACTGCTCCTTAGGGTTTTCAGTGGCTGATTTTTTGGAAGTAGATCACCAGGCCTTTCTTCTTAGGTACTCTGGGTGTAACCCATGTTTATCAGCTTTCTCAATTGTTTCTTTTTTGTTCATGTTTTGAGATGATTAAAAGTCTCATATTAAATGTTATAATTCCTAGGTTGATGTGTTTTCTCTCTTGGTTAGCAGCCAAGCTCTTTAACCACCGAGCTACAGGGTAGGGCTGTGTTTTCTCTAAGAGGGAACTTCATCTCTTTCTCGCTTCTCTTACAATCTCCTGATGACTCGCTGTTCTCCACACACGCCTAGCACGCTCCTCCTCACACTGGTCCCTTCGTCTAAACCCCTCCCTGCTTGTCTCCATTCCAACACTACTTCCAGAGCAACCTGCTCAAGGTGCCAAGCCCACCCATGGCTCCCAGGCGGGTGCTCTGGGCTCTAGCACTTTATGGTAATGACTTGTATACCTCCTCCCCTGCCACTGGTCTGTTTGAGGACAGAGGTTGTTTATTTTACATCCACAGCACCCAACGTCTGGGCACTGTTTATTGGAACTCATAAATGAAATCTGCATTCCTGTGGTTACAAATTAGAACTTGAGCCCAGCTCTCTCAAAAGCTGGAAATGCCTTGAGCCTTTCACTTGATAGCTATAAAGTCGAGAAGCTTCGCTGTCTCCCAGGAACCTGTAACACTTACAGGAGTGCTGAGGCTTAGGGGGCAGCTCCTAAACACACCTGAGCCTGGGACTCACTCTGTCCCTGTCATCTAACGTGGTCTCCTGTCCCTGTGACTTACGCACTTTTCCTTCAAGTCACCTACCTATGCAGCATTTCTACTTGAAGGACTCAAGTGGCAGATAGTTTGTTTTTTGTTTTTTTCTACTGTATCACACGTTGAAAATTGAGGGTAGATTCAGAAGACTTACTGGGCCAATAACGTGTTCCAATTTTTTTTAAGTGAAAGATTGAGATGGTAAGTGAATTGTTTAAGGTCTTAGAACTCTAATATAATAATAATGCCATTTTATTAATGATTTCTTCCCCTTAAAAATATCTAAGTGAATGGAGAAGGTTGAAAAGCTCACTTCAATGTCAGGTAACTGGGCAAAGCTCAGAGAAGGTCCTCAGTCTATGCTGCCCTTTCTTCATCTTATTCATCCAAGCCATGAAGAGGGAATTTAGCCCTGAACCTGAATCTGTGAGCATAAAATAAGTTGATAAGTGTCTCGAGAGAGCCCCCTGACCAGCGCTTGGAGCCAGCATCTGCTTTGGTTTTGAGTTGTACAGGTTGTCTACCTGTAATACCCAGAGGTCCCAGCAGGGCTTCTGGCCGTAAAGACCTCCTTCCACACCTGCAGTTTGGCTTCTCACCATCAGTGATGAGCCTCTGCATGAGATAAAAGAGAGCTGCTGACCCATAGTGGGAGGAAGGGGCCATGGCCCAGCTTGGTGAAGACCTCTCTGTGTGCCAACTTCACCACCAAGATACGGTGTTAGGCATTGGAGCCCAAGTGTAAATACGTGACTCTGGTTACTTGTCCTGTTGGTCTGTCTGTTCTGTGTTATACTCAGTATTCATAATGTTTTCACCTGCCTTTGCATGTCTGCCTAAAGAATATGTAGTCCGAGTTTTGCAGGATACCCAAAATAAATAGATGCACATTTTGCTAAATTAATTTCAGGTCCAATTTAATATTGACATCTCATGTTAGTGTGATAGAGTGCGGGAAAACAGTTGTTTCTAAAAATACCTGTCGTGAGTCTGTGTGTGTGTGTATATAAACGTTTCTTGAAATTAATTAAACTTGGTAAAAACAGATTCAAATTTTAATTCTCTAAACCTCAAGTTTAATGAACTTTTGGAGTATACTGTATCTTACAACCAGGAAAACTTCCTTTAAAAAAATCTGATTTCAGTTGTAAGAATTCTTGATCTAATACTAAAAAGCAAAAACCAAACCCGTTGTCGTTGAGTCGATTCCAACTCATAGAGACCATATAGTAGCCGTAAATAAACAGAATGTCATCTCTTGCAGGTGAACGCATCGTTCTGTTGCAGCCTGGAAAACATGAATTCCCATTCAGCTTTCAACTTCCATCTGAGTAAGTGCAATTCTGCCACTTCTGCCATTTTCTTTCCCTGCAGTGTGTCCAGCCAGATGTATAGGTTTGGGTTCTCTTCTGACTCTCAACCATGCATGCCTATCCTCAGTTGCCCCTAAGTAGACTGACCCCTAAACAGACTTACTCCTTCTCAACCTAAACCAGCATTTTAAGGGCTCTTCCATTTTTTGTTTAACTGGACATGAAGCTTGTAAATAAATGTCTTTGCTTTGCCTCAGACCCTTGGTAACCTCATTCACCGGCAAGTATGGAAGCGTTCAGTACTGTGTGAAGGCCGTTTTGGAACGACCCAAGGTCCCCGATCAGAGTGTGAAGCGGGACCTCCAGATTATCAGTCATATCGATGTCAACACACCAGCACTATTAGTAAGTTCGTCCTTCCTCTCCTCCTCCTCCCCTCCTTCCCTCCTTTCTTTCAACAGTGGTCCACACATTTAGCCAATCTAGTGGTAGTTCTGGCCTGTCACTTTCTGATGGCTTAGAAAAGGCAGTCTTATCGCCCGTAGGCATTCACTATAAATACATGATACTAGGTTGGGCAAATTACAAATTGTGTGTGTTAATACTATTGATTATGTCCCTGCTGTTCAGGGCTTCTTTTGCCAAAAAGTTACACAGGCTTGAAATGCATTAATAAGGCTTAATAATAATAATGCACACCCAGAGAGTAGTTACTTTTACCAGAGCGCTACATTCACAGGGCTGTGGTATTCTAAACTCTTCAATAATAGCAGGTTGAGGAACAGTAATTATGGAAGACTATTAATCACGCTCAGCCTGTGATTGAGACACAGGCCATTATGCTATGTATCCCTCCATTCTGCGTGTCATTTTCTAGCATTAAGTAAGTGCATGCAGCTGCCGAGGCGATCCTTTCACTTATCATTTCCTTATGACAGTTTTGGCCACATTAAAGCATTGAACTTCTGGTAATCACCAGAAATACTGTAGGCTGATAAGAAAGATCAGGCTATAAGTAACAACAGAATAGGCAAGATGGGCGCTAATGAGCTAGATTCTTTTATCTAAACCCATATTATCAAAATAATATAAAATTATACCTTGTACTTTCATGATAGCTGCTAGGACCTAATGGTTCTTCATTTAAATATGAATGATTTTTTACTTCAGAAAAAATACTGAGATAATTTAAACTTTCCATCATGACGCTGATGTGACAAAGACGTGTTTTTTAGTACTGGACGTTTCTTTTTCTGCCCAGTGTTTTTAAAGAAGAGGAAAAAACCAGGAGTTGAAGTTGTTTAACGCGATTTTCAAATTAAAAAAACAATTTACCTTAAGGTTCACCTTTTGATTGTGAAGAGATAGCAAATTAAGGACCCTTGAAATTTCTGCCTGATGGTGAATTTTGAAGAAAAATAAGGCTGTTTGCTTGTTGCACATTTTAAGAGGCAGTGATTCCAAAACAAATGTAATGACATGCTCTGATTACTGATTTTTATATCATATTTCCTTTCACCTGATCTACACATGAAGCCTTAAAAAAAAAGGTGGTTCTGGCATGTTAATATCTACTAATATAGCTTTTGATTGTTTGGTTAAGGAATATTATATCATTTCCTGGAAATGTAAAGATTACAGGGTAAAAGAGGGTGGTGTCAGTATGTTAATTTAAATCTGAAAATTCACCTTATTTTTTCTAAAAAGGGAATGACTTTTAATGCTTTGTATTTTAGTAAGTATTTTGTCTAAGAAAGGTTGGTTTGTTTTTGGTAGATATTTCATCTGTGAAGAATGACATAGTTTTAAGTTCTATAAGGTCTTTAGAGTGGTTTAATTAAGGTCCTTTTACTCTTTTAAATTTTCAAGACCCCTGTATTGAAAACTCAAGAGAAAATGGTTGGTTGTTGGTTTTTCACCTCTGGTCCAGTCTCGCTGAGTGCCAAAATTGAAAGAAAGGGATACTGTAATGGTAAGAAAAATATTTACAAGTCCAAACGGGAGAATCATTTATTTTATTAGCTAAATTGTAAGTGATTTGAATAGTGTGTTTTGTAATTTATGAAGTATGTAGTATTTTAAAACATGAACAGTAATAAAATTTTGTTTTAAATATCAGTAATTGACATTTAATGATTTTTAAATGGATGAGTAGGTCCCAGTAAAACTCCTGGTATTTCTGACTTTAATCTTGTTGCTTTACTGGCTAAAAGTAAAGCTAGAAGAGTGGGAGAATGCCAGCATTTTATTTTAATGTTGGAAAGGAATGTTCCGAGGAGGCTGCTGAGAAGAGAGCTATTGTAGTATGGAAATGCTGTCAGGCATTCTGATTCTATGCTGGCTTGAGATATACAAGTATATGGTGCTAGAGTGTAGAACATTTAACAATCATAACATTCAGATTGATACAGGAATTACCATTTGTAAAGCGTCCAATTCCATACAGTGGATTTGGCCTGCATTCTAGGCTTGGCTTCCTGCAAATGAGTGTGGTGTGGTATGGTATGGTGTGCACGTGTAATATCATAAAACTTGCCTATTCCATCCATTGCTTTACACCTTAACATTATCAGTTCATTAAAGGCAAAGACTTTGTTCTCCTGTTGGGCAGATTTTAATTTGATAGTCACTAATGAGTTTGTTAGTGATTTTTTATACTTAACAGTACTAGATCGTTTATTTGTACGTCTTAATTTATGTAGATACTAGTCATTTACATACCTTTAGAGTTACTAATCTAATATTGATACAATAGAAAAAGGAATAATACAACAATGAGAAAATAATATCTCAACCCAAAACCAAAGCTGATTTTTATTTCTCTGACTCAGATTTACAGTGTGAATTTTCCATCAGAGCTTCTCAGTTTGTTAAAATAGTTTTGAGCCCTTTCATCTTTAATTGGTAATGGCAGGATTCCACTGTGGTGAGAAATTTTTGAAAGGTCTCTGCATCCACTGTGGTTTTGTTTTCTTTTTAGGAGAAGCTATTCCAATCTATGCAGAGATAGAGAATTGTTCCTCTCGTCTGATTGTTCCCAAAGCTGCCATTTTCCAAACCCAGACATACTTGGCAAGCGGAAAAACAAAGACCATCCGTCATATGGTTGCCAGCGTGCGAGGAAACCACATTGCTTCTGGAAGCACAGACACGTGGAATGGGAAGACCCTGAAGATCCCGCCTGTTACCCCGTCCATCCTGGATTGCTGCATTATCCGAGTGGACTATTCCTTAGCTGTAAGCACCGTGCTCCCTGAAATTAAAAATACGCCGAATTGAACAATAGCTGCTGCCATGTTACTGTGAATGTGTTTAGTAAATTAAAAAATGCCATTTTATATCAACATTACACCAAATTATGGAATATATGAAGATTGGCCCTGTTTTCAGTAAAAAACTGTCCCTCAAGGGTATTCAATTAAATAGCATAAAAATATTGAGGTGCCTTAATGGATGCTTATTATATTGAAGACATATACTCAATTTCCTGGTGGCACAATGGTTAAGCTGTTGACTGCCGACCAAAAGGTTGGTGGTTCGAACCCACCAGCAACTCTGCAGGAGAAAAGACCTGGTGATATGCTCTCATAAAGATTACAACCTGGGAAACCCCATGGGACAGTTCTACTCTATCCCATCAGGTCGCTATGAGCGGAATCAGTGGCACACAACAACAATGTTATGTAAACCATACCAACTTAAACAATGAAATATGTTAAGGCCACAGTTCCCTGGCACAGAGCATTCGTTTTGCTCGCCCTTCATTTTGTGTGGCCGGCACGATTTCCAGTTGCATTGGCGTGGCAGTTCACAAAAGCGTTTCTGTGAAAAAAGAAACTGTTGGGCCATCTACCATGAGGTTTAACTTATATTTCCATCTTTCTTTTTTTTCTTTCTTTGCCATTTAGGTGTACATTCACATTCCTGGTGCTAAAAAATTGATGCTGGAGCTGCCTTTAGTGATTGGCACAATCCCCTATAATGGTTTTGGTAGCAGAAACTCCAGCATTGCCAGCCAGTTCAGCGTGGATATGAGCTGGTTGACACTGACGCTGCCTGAACAGCCTGAAGGTAAGGTGTTTTGAAGTTCCTTCACAGTGGGCTTCTACATGTAGCGCATTTACGAAGTTACTTAGTAAGCACACAGATGTTGATTGCTGGAGTCCCTGGGTGGCACACACAGTTAAGTGGTCAACTACTAATTGCAAGGTTGGTAGTTCGAATCCATCTGGAGGTGCCCCAGAAGAAAGACCTGGCAATCTGCTTCTGAAAGGTCACAGCCTTGAAAACCCTATGGAGCCCAGTTCTACTCTGACATAGATGGGGTCACCGTGAGTCAGAATTGACTCGACAGCAGCTGGTTAACTGATTAAGAAGTTACTTAGTAAGCGCTCAGATATTAACTACTGCTGCTACTACAATTATTATTACTAAAAATCATAAAACAATATTCCCGAAGGGACCTTGAGAGTTTAATCCAGTACACAGAGCTGCCCTGGCAGATCCAGGAATAAAATCCACATCTCCTGATTCCAGTGTAAATAATACAATGATGTAAATTTGTCACAACAGAAGTGTAGAGGGTTATGCATTCTCTGAAGCCACATATCAAGAACATTTATTTACGTAGACCATAACACATACATGTCTCAAACAAATAGATGTACTCAATTGTTAATAGTAGTTTTATAAAACCAGAAATCTGTAGGGTCAGCAGGAGTTGGAATCAATTCGATGGCAACTAACATTAAATATTTATTTTTGGCATGGGCACAAGAGTTTGCTGATTAGAGGGAAAAAACATCTTTCTTTTATCTTCAAATTTAGCTTAGTTTCTTTTTTCTAAGAGTTCAGAAAAGGTTAATGTAATTAATCAGTTTTTTAAAAACTAATACTGTGTTTTCAGTGAAAGTTTACACAGCAAATTAGGTTCTTATTTAACAATTAGTATACAGATTGTTTAGAGACATTGGCTACATTTTTCACAATGTTTTAACATTCTTGTTACTGTATTTTTACAAAAGTAATGCACACCTTCTGCGTTTGTTTGCTGGCTGTGCCCTCCCCGCACAAGGCACCCTCACAAGTGCCACCAAAAAAAAATTAGCATAGTGCTCCTGAGAAAATACCTCCAGGGCTGATGGCTTGGCTGGCAGACGAGTGCATTATTTGCATAAAAATACGGTAATTCCCCTCTGGATATTTTGCTTCCAGTAATCTGGTTTCCCTGTCCCCTTACACTTTCATCTTTGCTTTACAGTAATTGTTGACCACTTGGTCTTATATAAATGACCTTTTAAAGCTGCACAGTACTCACTGGTAATATTCTTTATTTTATGAGCCAATCTGTTATTTAGCTAAAAGGTGCCCTCGGGGTAGTTTGGGTTCAAGGTTTATGGAATATCTCAGGGAGATAATCTCCGGGAGTCCTCTAGTCTCAACTGGTCCAGTAAGTCTGGACTTTTTCAGAATTTGAGTTCTGTTCCACATTTTTCTCCCCTTCTATCAGGATCCATCTATTGTACCCCTGATCAGAACAGCCATTAGTGGTAGCCAGGAACCATCTAGTTCTTCTGGTCTCAGAATAGGGGAAGCTGTGGTTCATGTAGACTGTAAGTCCTATAGACTAGTTTCTTCTCTGAGTCTTTGGTTTCCTTCTTTCTCTTTTACTCGGAACAAGAGATTGATAGTTGTATCTTAGATGGCTGTAATTAATCAATTTTTGCATGGACTTCTTGGATTCAACTCCATTTCTGTTTCAGCGCCACCAAATTATGCAGACGTGGTTTCAGAGGAGGAATTCTCAAGACACAGTCCTCCTTACCCTCAGCCCCCTAGTTGTGAGGGAGAAACATGCTGTCCTATGTTTGCCTGCATACAAGAATTCCGGTTTCAACCTCCACCTCTTTATTCAGAGGTAAACAAAGTAAAAGAAAATTAGACTTTTCCTGTGCTGTTTGTAAATAATCATTTGCTGCCCTTCATTCATTAAAGTGTCTGTTGCTGACTCATAATTAGTAGGGGATACATGCAAATTTTTAACAGTGATGATAGATTGTCACTGATCCATCTAGCACATTTTGCAATATTTACCTTGTGATTCATGGCATGTTCAGACTGTAACCTGGACTGATTGCCTTTAAGATGTTTTATAAGGCCATGGATTACAGAGAACTTTAGTGGCCTACTGGGACTTCTTAATAACAGGCTCTAAGCAACTGGGTGGGTTTAAAACCATCATCTACTTAGAAATAGGAACTGGAATCATTTTAAAGAATCCCACAACAGTCTGTTCTTTTTTTGCAGGTTGATCCACATCCTAGTGATGTAGAGGAAACCCAGCCTGTTTCATTCATTCTCTGAACGTATATCAGAATCACTGTGTTCATCATCAGTTTAGAATGTTGTTCTTTCCTCCTGCCTTTCCGGAGGAGTAGGAAGAAAGACTAACTTAAGAACATAAACTAATATCAATACGGAAGGCAAGAGAAATTAAAGAATACATGAGCTTTCCATGGGCAAACAGGATCGTCGCACAAGTTTATGTGATGGTCGTAACATCCCTTTAAAATAGTGGGATGAAGATGTGAAAAATCACAGAATGCAATGGAAGTCTTGATGGTGATAGAGTAAGTGGCGGGGTGAGGGTGCCTGCGCCGACCCACCAGAAAGTAATCCACATATATGGTGGAAACACTGCATGTGAACCCTTAAAAAGGTTTCTCAAGGTGGAGCAAAGTATCCTAAACTGTAAGACAGTATGGACTCGTTGGAAGGAGACTTGATTGGGAGAGTGTGGTAGCACAAGGGTGTGCACGAATAGGGGCATGGCCTGCTATAAATACGAAATGCAGCCCTCAGGTTTCAGGGTCTTTGTGTTTTCTTACCATGCTTCATAGGACTAAAACCCTGTAGGGCTCCTTTTCTCAAGATCATGGTGGTATGACGTACTAATGAGGTAATACAATTTTCACTCTTCAATGGCATCTTAAAATGTAGTTTATAAATTGGCTGTACAGTATTATGAAACCAAAGTAAGGGTTCCTTGAAAAGTTTGTTCAAAGGGGAAATATAAGGATGAATTTGAGGATGAAAACATACGTTGCTGAAGGCTTTATTTTTTATCCCCTTTGAGCACTTTAACAGATATTTTCCTCATATCTTACTTACCTAGAAGCCCATTAAAAAAGAGGAGGGGATAAGATTGTATCTTCAAGATGACTTGATACCTCTGGAGTCCAAAAAAGCCTTTTCTTTCAGCCTACCTCCAGTGGGGTTATCAGCTATGTTTTTGAAACTATAGACCTGATAAGTCTCCTTTGGCGTTTCTGCTACTTGGCAATAACAGTCTAACCTGTCCTTAAATCTGAAAGTGGACCAAGGGAAACCTATTAACACTAAATGGAAGTAAATATATGTATACCTAAGGGTATTCCAAAAAAATGCAGAGTCGAAAGGGGGTAGAAATACCATTTAAAAGGACACAAGTTCGATTTCTGTCAAGAGACATAAGTGTACTAACTGCAGTCGCTTCTTTGTACATTGTTATTCTGGTTCTTCAGTAATTCTATTGAAACTGTGATTTTCTTTTTTGTTTTGGTGCAATATTTTTATTATCATTCTCTCTCAGGATATTCAGACCAAAAGAATTGTGTTGCTGCTCAAAGTCTAAGCAGTGTTTTTATGTGCCCCTTTCCCCTTCGGTTCGTGGTCACGTTGTCACTTGCTTTTTCTTTAATCTGTTGGTTTTATGAGCTGAGAGCATTTCTGGACACCAGGTGGAAGGGAGGTAGGGATTCCCATGATAGAGGCTTTGAATCAGTGAAGTGCTTTGGTTTTTCCTAAGGTTTGATCTGAAAACCCTGGTGCTTCCTGTGCAGAATGCTATGTGCTTCAGTCCACAGAATGACTTATTTTTCTTTCAGTCAGTATATTCAGTTCAAGATAGAGTTCTTCTATGGTTAAATTTTGTATTTAAACATTAGCCATTTGATCAGGGATTTTTCTACAGACATTAGTCAAGTGTGTGCTTTCCACCCTTCCAGACATGCCTCTCCTCCCTGCAATCATGTAAGCGTTGTAAGCACTTTTTCCGTTCAAGCCACTGTTTAAAATCAGAATGCGAAACTGTCGACACAGGTACTTCTGGTACTAAGGTGGTCACAAAACTTTCTTCCGTCTCTGGTTTTTAGTGAGTTTTTTTGACTGTTGTATTTCTTTGTTTGCTTGTTTGTATGTTTTGAAATAGTTATGTGTATTTAAGTGCCATCTAAACAATTTTTTTTTTAAAAAAAGAATCGCTTCAGCTATTTTTTTACTTCTTCTAAGTTGTAATCTACATGCCTTTTGGAGACACTCTCCATCTCCCTAATAGCAAAACAAAGTGACAGAAGCCACCTAAATATGGAGGGCGAGAACACTTAATTATTTGGCTTCATGCAGAGAAGCAGCTAGTTAATGGACTCGTCGTCTGGGATTGTTTTGTGGCCTTTGTTAGAGAATCATGCAGTGCTCCTGCAAAAGGGAAGTAGAGCTGGCTGGGTAGCACCTAGAACAGCTGAGAAAGGCTGGCTTGCCTTGTTAAACTGATACCCATATATCTTACCTTAAGCAGCAGGCTGAAACTGCATTAAACACCTTTTTACTTTAATCAGGAAGTTATTTTATGAATGGAGAAAGTCCTGCATTGAAACAAAGAATACTTGGGAATGAAGAGCAAATATTTAGCTGCTGTTATCTGCCTGTTCATTCCTCTGTTGCTGGTGTTTAATTTGCAAAGAAACCGTGGCCTTAGACTTTTCTTTTTGCTGCAAACAACATTTTGAAAATGAAAACGTGCATCTTTTGGCACACAAAATCCTTCCATGGGCAAAACTTTATGTTTTCGTTCTGCACAATAAGAAAACTAGGCAGGGGGTTTGTTTTTGATAAGTTAACTATGAAAGCTTTTTTATTTTTATTATTAAAAATGTAACAGTTTAACCCACGGGGGAAAAAAAATAAAGATTGTATTTTGTACTCTTGTTTGAACCCCATGGGTTCCTTTTTGTTAATAAAGCAATTACACTGATGCTCTGAGTTGCTAGTTTCGTTTTTCTTTTTTAGAAACTAGGATTTAAATTGTTAGAGACTTCAGGGAAATCAATACCAAAAAATGTAAAATGTTACTGCTGTTAAGATCCTTTTGTGCTTTCACAAGGCAAGACACAGGCCTAGGGATTCTGAGATTGTTATCCGTTGTGGGCTCAATTTCCCCAAGGTAATCAGTTTTTAGCATTCCATGAAGAAAAGTAGTTGAGATGAGTAAATAAGCTTAAACCGTATTGGTCACTGAGAGAGCAGATCTTCATTTATTCCCAAATGGTAATGTCTAACTCTGTCAAATTTCCTGAGTTTTAGTGTTTGGCCAGAATCTGTCCAGGATTGATTTCGTAGGTTTGATGAGCAGTTAGTGGAGCTACGCTGAGAAAACCTCCCCCTTCTACACAGATACTCAAGTGGAGAAAAGCAGTATGTTTTGTACAAGGAAGATGTGATGGTATATCATCTCAGGGGAACTGCCCAGGCTCTCTTTCCTGGAAAACTATAAACCTTAGCCAAGGTCTAAAAATTAGCCCTGGTCGTTTACTCTCCAAGTGTTTATAATATGTGCAATGGGATTAAGTGACAAATATACGTTGTTTCCGCAACCACGTATGCATTCAGCATAAATTAAGTGAGATATTTGGCTCATGCAGTAAATATTAATGCAAAATTTACAATGTCACCATTAATGTTTAATAGCTGAAGTGCTCTTTTTGTAGTTTATAGTGTGAAGTTGTGGGTTATAAAGTTCAGAACGAGGCAAGACATTACAAAGAATCTAGGACACAGCCCTTACGTTACAAATGAGGATACCAAAGCCCAGAGAGGTGTAACCTGAGAGTTCGGCCTACATTGTCTGTAAGGTCCCTCCTAGCTCTAAAATTTCTTGATTCTATAACTTTAATAGAAGTAATAGAAAGAGTAATTGCTTAAAGTTCCACAGCATATGAGTTCCAGACCTGGATACGGAAGAGCATTCAGAATTATTATCTAAAAGCCCCGCCTCCTAAAAGATACAGCCTTTAACGTTTCCTGAGTCTGTTTAATTAGTAGCTGGAATCCCTTCTTCAGCAGAGGCATTTGTTTCTAAACTTTATTTTGAAGTAATTATAGACTCACAAGAAGTAACAAAAATAGCAGAGAGGCCCTGTGTACACCTCACCCAAGTTCCCTAACGGTTAAGTCCTGTATACCTATAGTACATTGTCAAAATCAGGATGCGTACATACATACATACAATAATTGGATTTCAAACCTGACTTGGATTTCACCAATTTTTGCATGCAGTCACCCCTCTTTTGTATGTTTTTGTGTATATTCTATGACATTTTATCACACGTTAAAACATGTAATCACCACCACAATCAAGATAGGAAACTCTTCCATCACCACAAAGAAAGTCCTTCGAGCCACGTACTCCTACCCTGCCCTCTTCCCGCTCCCTAAGACTGATCCTTTCCCCATCTATAATTTTGTCATTTTGAGAAAGCTATGTAAATGGAATCGTGCGGTACATAACCCCTTGAGAATGGTTTTTTCACTCAGCATGACACCCTTAGGATTCGTGCAAGTCCTTGCACGTATCAATAGTTTGTTCCTTTTTATTTCAGCGGAGACATTCTAATAGAAACAAATAGGTTATTACTTAACATTTCAATCTGCAAATAAAACGTATAATATTTCTGTGCCATTTGCAGTACATGATAACCTTGTAAACATTTTGGTTTTACATTTGAGAACTAACTTTTCCGTAGAAAATATATAAAGGCAGATATTCACAAACTTTTAGGAACTTGTTTTTAGCCTGTCAAAGTATCAAAAGTATTTTGCCTTTAAGTAGCAAGCTACCACATTATAAATAGCAAGATACACCTGTGATGAAATTGTAGCCTGAAGACAAACTGTCTTGGGCTACTATATCTTAGCCTCTGAATCTGATAAACATTAATATCAATTACACAAAAAAGAACCTACGTTCTACCTTGTGTGTGTTAAAGTTTGCATTTTTCCCTCTTTACTCTCTCTAATTCCCTTGTTTCACGATCTCATCTCTTAATGTCTGAGACAGAAAGCGCATTTGGAAGCTGAGGAAAGTATTAAACTACAGAATACATGCTTATTCTTAGTAAAACAGTATTATAATACCATGGGCTTACTTGTTAAGGCTGTTAAAATTTTCTAGACAGAAGCACTCCTACAGAAGTGGTTACGCACGAACCTGAGGAACTTTTCCCTAAAGCCAGACATAAATCTGTCAGTGACGAAAGTAACAAATTAGCACTAATTTCCAGCATGTAACTATAACTGAATTTACCATGAACTGTTTCTTTGGTGGAGCTATTTCTGTGTTCACTGATAGATTTCATTCCTGCCCAGTTTTTCAAGGAGCCAAGATGGCTTGCCTGGGCAAGAAGAGAAAATACATAAGGCAGCGTCTTCCAGTGGGAACAAGTAAAACCATAGGTGCTTTCCTCATCCTTGCAACCCCCACCCAGACACACACAGACACCCTTATCTCCTTCCCGTTTGTGTACATCCTGTGCCTCCAGACCTGTGTCTATTTCAGTGTGATGGTTAAGGTTGTGTGTCAACTTGGCTGGGCCATGATTCTCAGTGGTTTGACAGTTATGTATTGATGTAGTTTGACGGTTATGTGATGATGTAATTTGACAGTTACATAATGGTATAGTT